TTTCATGGAGTGTTTCCTATTTCTCTTTGTGGACATTTGTAAGTTTCACTGTTATTTGTTTTTCTAGTAATACGTTTTCAAGCTTTTTAGATTATGAGATAGGCTGTCAGCAATGTAAGTTGTAAATAGAATTAAGGGGCTGGAAATAAAATGTAATGATATTAGAATTATGGCAGCAAACCAGCACAACACAAAGAACTTTGCACAGTTTTTTACCCAAACTAACCGACTGAGTTCAAATGCTGTTGGATGTAGTTAATGTTGGCTAAAAGATTACTAGCTAATAAAAATACAGCACCTCGAGCTTGTTAACAAGTAGCCTGTAGGCTACTGATGATGTTGCCTATGTTCAAATCTGGTTACATTCCCATGAGTAACTTTTTAAAAAAAAAGAAGAAAGTATTTATTAGAGTAGTTTCACAGCACTGTACGTTTTTCTTTTACTTTAGTAATATTATTACTGCGACTCTTTTTTTTTTCTTTGCTACGATTCATTTTGCCCCCAACAAAACAAGCCGATGCACTGAATATGGGACTAGAAATTGGCCAAACCCTTCTGGGTTTGACCAATGGGATGTAGCGGTCCCATTGACACTTGCCTACTATGCCTGTTAGGAGACAGAACCCAAATAAAAATGTGTAGGGTGGTAAAGTGGAGGGGCCACTGGTTCCCTGGCCCCCCTGTTCTGGCGAAGCTGTGCAGATCACTTCCAGTTCAGACTTGTGGGAATAATGTATTTAGTGCCACAGATTCTATTGTTTTTCATAGCGCATGCTCACTGCATGCTATTATTACCCCTAGCAACAGTTGCCATGCTGCTGACAACGATATCAGCATGACTTTAAATGATGTCTGTGTCATGAGGTCCTGTTAAGAATGACTTTGTGATGTCATAGAGTCCATGACATCACCAACTGGTCAGTTAATTCTCAGGTCAGTTAACACAGAAATAATTTGGACATTTTAGCTCAGCTTAATACAGATGAGTAACGAAAACTCACAGCTCACTTTTTTTTAAAGAAACATGAAAACAAGGTTCTCCAACAAAGTCCATCCTGGTGAAACAACCCCGGATTACAGGGAAAAAAAGAACTTCTTTGGAAAGTGATTGAAAAATCTGCGGACGGACCAACTGCATCTTGTCAGAGAAACATTTTTGGAAGACCACCATGATCTTAACTTTTGAGAGAAACAGGAGAATTAAATGTGGATGTTCTCTCAGAGGTGTCAGAAGAGCTGAGTGAACAGATTTTCCAAAACCTCGCCAGAGATGCTTTTACACTTTGCTTCTGGACTGCATTTAATTGGACTTCTTGATTACCCAGGAGGACATAAAGTTAGTGTGGAAAAATTCAAACATCACCTGGAGAATCCTATTCCTTCAAAGAAAATGTTTACATTTACAAAATGAAAGATCAGAAAGACTTTTTTTCCTAGTGAGGACTTGTACTCAGATGAAAACTGCCTGAGTGAGGATTATACTCAGGCAGGCATGGACCTTGAACGATTTTTGAGGGACGCGAAAGAGACGGGTTTCAAAGACTAATGTCTCAGCGCAATCTAGAGAAACTCATCCATGCGTTTATCATTAGTCACATTGATTACTGCAACAGCGTCTTCACAGGTCTGACTAACAAATCAAACATCTGCAGTTGATCTAGAACGCTGCTGCTCGCGTTCTCATTAAAACCAGGAAGATAGAGCACATAACACCAGTTTTAAAGTCCCTACACTGGCACCTTGTAGCTCAGAGAATAGACTAAAATATTGCTGTTAGTTTATAAATCACTAAACGGTTTAGCACCACAATACATTAAAGATCTGTTGTTGTTGTACCAGCCTTCCAGATCCCTCAGGTCTCCTGGTTTCGGTCTGCATGCCCCAAACCAGAACCAAACAAGGAGAAGCAGCATTCAACTTCTAGGCACCACAAATCTGGAACAAACTTCCAGAAAACTGTAAAACAGCTGAAACACCTTTAAATCTCAACTTAAAACCCACCTGTTTAGAGTTGCTTATGGCTAAATTAGCTCTAGAGTGCGGGTTTTAATGTCTTTAATGTTTTTATCTTTATTTTTTTTTATCTATTAATTTTTTTTACTGTTTACATGCAGTGTAACATGACTCTGTGTTTCTGTTTTTAATATTGTAAAGCACTTTGAAATGCCTTGCTGCTGAAATGTGCTATACAAATAAAATTTGATTGATTGAGTGGGGACCGTGCTCCAAGTCAGGACCATGCTCCGAGTCAGGACCTGCCTCCGAGTCAGGACCTGCCTCCAAGTGAGGACCGTCTTCTGAGTCAGGACCTGCCTCCAAGTGAGGACCTGCCTCCGAGTCAGAACCTGCCTCCGAGTTAAGACCTGCCTCCGAGTGAGGACCGTCTTCGAGTCAGGACCTGCCGAGGAGTGAGGACCTGCCACCGACTCAGGACCGTCCTCCGAGTCAGGACCTGCCTACTGGTGAGGACATGCCTCGGAGTGAGGACATGCCTCTGAATCAGGACCGTCCTCTGACTGAGGACCTGCCTCCAAGTCAGGACCGTCCTCGGAGTGAGGACATGCCTCGGAGTGAGGACATGCCTCGGAGTGAGGACATGCCTCCGAATCAGGACCATCCTCCGAGTCATGGCCTGCCTACGAGTGAGGACCGTCCTCCGAGCCAGGACCGTCCTCTGACTGAGGACCTGCCTCCGAGTCAGAACCTGCCTCCGATTTAAGACCTGCCTCTGAGTGAGGACCTGCCTCTGAATGACAACCGTGCTCTGAGTCAGGACCGTCCTCCGAGTGAGGAGATGCCTCCGAGTCAGGATAGTCCTCCGAGTCAGAACCTGCTTCCGCGTCAGGACCTGCCTCAGAGTCAGGACCGGCCTCCTTAGCGTACTGCAGTACTTCTCAAATAGTTGGTGCGCCCCTACCCCTCCAGGTGTGGCGAAGTGTCAGGGGGGGTCGTGAGAAGCAGGACTTTATAATTGTCTTTATTCATGTTAACTGATAAACAAGCCTCCGGTCACTAGGTGGCAGTAGTGTTTAAACTAATCAACAGCCTGCCTGTTCAAGCCAGTAGAAGTAGCCACAGCACTGTTGTAAACGGAGCAGAAGAAAAAAACACCAAAAAAACGAAGCGAAGGATACAAGCGCGGATGTTTTGAAATATATCTATCTAGAGGAGAGATGGAGAAGTTTGACAGTGAAAAGAAAAACGGCAGCAGAGGTCAGTGGTTAGGATAAGAGATTCTTATTTTCAAATACAAGAATACAGTCATAATACTATGAGAACCCAGTTGTATTAGTAAAGTAATTTAAATATTGGCAGAGTAAAGACGCAATATTGCCGGAAGAAAGTCGTTAAATTAAAACGCTTCGATAGAGTGATATGTAACATGACCCGCTCAGCAAGTCTGGTTCTTTCCGTTAAATAAAAAGTTGTGAAAGCAATCGTTTCAAAGACCTGGGGTTGAAAATTTGCTTCTGATGTGCTAAAATATTTAGTGTAGTCATTTGTTAAACCAGTACCAACAAGTACCTTACAAGATCAGTATTCCGCAGTTTAGTGCACTATGGTGAAAAGCTATCATAAAATTAGTCTTTATTCTCATCCAACTTTACTCGTATTTAAAACACAAATCAAAAACTCAGAGTTTGGCACTTATACTCACGCCATCATAATCAAGTAACTGTAGCTCACAGAAAAAGGGCAAGAAATAGACAAAACCTATTTTTATTGTTAATCTCTTATTGTTAATTTCATCTCTTCTCATTTGACAAGCTGAACTATTAGCAATATTGCTGCAAATTTTTCCACAATAAATCTTAAGAACTATATAGCCTACCTTGTGGAAACTAAACGGAAGAAGCTGACAAGTAATCAATGTACATTAAGTCTAAAAATGCAAATCCCAGTGAATAATTTGCACTTTTTTAAACTGAGTCTTGATTAAATGTTAGTGATTCCCTCATAAACTGATTTTGGAAAATATTTTGAGCCTTACAATAATAAAACAGCAGTTTTGATAATAAGGTCATACAATGTTGGAGCCAGTGGTTTGTACGATAAATTATTAAATATGAACAGATTCGCAATAGTATTTAAATCCTGGGGAGGGAAGGGCACTGAGCAGGGGGGGCGCGAAAAAAATTATGATCCCTAGGGGGGCATGACAGAAAATAATTGAGAAACACTATGCTAGATGTTTAATTAGGCAAGACAAAAGGGTCAATCAACTTCTGCGGGTAAAACTGGCCAGAAGCTGAGAAACGGCTCTAATGCAGCAAATATGTACAACAGAACAGCAATCAAATGGTCGTAGTACAGGGATGTTTACTGGAGTCCCTGTGAGTTAAGTGTGTTTTGAATTCCTGCGCTGATTAGCCATAAACACAAGACATCTGTGGGGTGGAGGGGGGCAGTGAAAAGAGTTGCAATCCTAAAAACGATGTCGATATAAACTTCTGTTTTACCATCTGAACGGAAAACCGTGATACAAGATGAGCTGGTGTATGTCAGCAAGAGTTTGGCTAATATTTGGGTAGCCGGAATGCCAGTATTCCCAAATGAATTTGGATTCCACATTTACAAAGATCGTGTTTCTCCCCTGACGCTGCCATTGGGAGCTTCTCAATTAGACGCCGAGCCGATCCTCAGACTGACTCCATAAATCACAAACTCTCGGCCGGCTTAAAAAATTTAACTGTTGCCACACTGGATCAACAGACAACAAAAACTCAGACAACCAAACTCTTCTTGTGCCATCTGTCAAAAGTGATAACACCCTTCACCTAATGGCACCTCGGCACCATTAGCAGGCTGTAAAGCGAGGTCTTCTATTAAGCAGGACTCTCCATCATCACCCCAACCACAGCACACAGATCGTTCTTTATTACCGCCCGTCTCCAGGAGATGATATTTATCCTATAAACAATGAGATCATTTCTATACTTGAATCTTGGGGCTGTATATGAAAATTCATGTATATGCACAAAAGAAATCGTACCCTAATTTTGATCGTGTCACATCTACAAACATCGACGTATTTTTGGGAGATTTAATGTCAAATAAGTTACTTTCATAATTTATTACAAATAAAAATGTGAAAAGTTTGATTTAAAAAAAAAAAAACTTGCAGCATCTAAATACAATCCATTGCAAGCTAATCTCTAAACACAGAAGAAAAGCATGTAGATGAGCAGTTTTTTGGATGAAGATTAAAAATGGTGTTCATATGCCTGAATGGCCTAATCAAAGTCCAAACTCCTAAATCCAATTTAAAATCCATGGAAGGTCTTCAGAATTTATTTTCAGATTATCTGGCAAAGAACAAACAAAAAAGTCAAAACTCCCAATGTGCAAATCTAGCAGCGACGCACCACAGAAACACTTGATTCTGTTCATTTGCACGTTTTTTTCTTTTTCACTTTACAATTATGCTTGTCGGTCTGTCACTTAATATCCTAAAAAAATACATTCAAGTTTGCAATTCAGATTTGATGATGACTACTATCAAATATCAGAGTAGTGACCTGTTTTGAGCACACGGTATTCTAGTTTTATTCACACACCTCAAAACCTTTAATGCTTGTTGGTATTAAAGTAGCTTCAATGTGTTAGTCATTAAAAAAATAAAACCACAGAAAGTATTTGAAGCAAAACTAAATGTACTGAAGGGTAAGTGCAATGACCCAAGGAGTGAAAAAAAAAAAAAAAAAAGTGTGAGGGGGGTTGGATGTTCGTCTGTTGCATGGAGATGGCAATCCAGCTGATGCATCAGCCAATGGCAGGCAGCCAGAGTCGGGCATCAAGGTTGGCAGAAGCTGATGGATTGGGAGAGAAGCACCGGCGCTTGCCAAGCCGCCGGACGTGGTTATAAATCACACGTTTACTGCCGAGTTGCGAGTCGCTGCACTCTACAGCATTTCTTCTGATGTCAGCAGCACATTATCATATCTAATCAGACCACAGCAACTCACGTAAAAATAAATTAATAAAACGAAAATAAATAAAAAAAGTTTGAAGTGGCAAACATTCTCATCCATAAACATAATTGACATCCAAAACATAAAAGAAAATGTGGATATTTATATGCCAGTTTATAGAGTGGAGTTCATACTCTGAAAGCTCAGCTTGTTTAACAATAATATTTTATTTAATGTAATCCTTTTTAACGGTGACACACGTGTTTCGCGACTCCCCCCGCCCCCATTTCATCCGACGGCAGCGGATGTAACCCGCTGTTAGAGCGTTTACATTACAGTAATACAGTTCATCACATGAAAGTCAGGCACAGTGGAAGTGCATGGTGTTGACAAAGGCAGATTGCTCTGGATTTTTACCAACCAGGAATATTTACAGATGCGACCGTTGAGGATAAACATAATTGCGAGCAAGAAAAAGAAAAATCTTTCTTCACAAGCATCGGGTTAATTTGTATTGCAAGGTTGAGCTATGACACACATTTTTATTTGACATTGATATGATTTCCATTTTGATTCAGCGGAATCATAAGAGAGAAAAAAAAAAAAGAGAAGCAAAAACTGGTCACATAATCTTCAGAAATTATTTAAAATAAGCTCACTCCTGCCCCTGACTATATTAGAAAACAGACCAAACAATACCATTCTTGTACAAAAAGACAATAAATCAATTATGGTAATAAAAATAAGAGTACATTGTAAATATATATTCATATTTTTTATTTTCTAACTGTATTTACAAGAGGAGAGTGAATGAGGGGTGTTGCAATTTTTCTGGATTTGGTCCAAAAAGCAGAATTATGACCTTTAGAAGAAGAAAAAAAAAAAGTAGAAAAAAACCCAACTCTTGATCAGTTCATCCCATTCTCCTGACTGAACTGTGGAATGCCCAAAGTGAAGAGAAAAGTTGAGTCCGTTTTCTGAGAGAAATCACCATTCGCCTTCACCAGCTGCAATCTGCAGTCCCATTGGTCCAACACAGAGTCTCCGAGCTCCTCTCTTGCAGAGGATTTAAAGTCACTATTATTACTTTTATTATTTTAGCTTCATCTCTGGGAATGTGTGCGGGGTGGAGGGCAAAGTCCAACCCCATGAGGCAGGGAGCTGAGGAACTGTCAGTGTCTGTGAGCGAGTGCGAGGTGTCAACGTTTCTTAATGGCTGCCCCGTTGGAGTGGGGAGGGAATTTGGGTAGGCAGGGCTCCTCCACGCCGGCGTCGTGAGAGAAAACAGAGTCCTCACCGGAGGAGCAGGTGGAGCTCCGCGTCTCCGGGTAGCTGGGCGAATATTGGTCCAGAGGCACGGAGAGCTCCAGGTAAACCTGGGAGGAGCAACAAGACGGTGAAACATCGAGCAACTTCTCTTCCAACTAGGGATGCAAGTTATCGACTAATAACTGCATTGATCTATAGTTTGGTTGGTTGTAAATACCTGTATACAGTCACACTAATGACAAATGTCAATTAAAAACTATACACAAGTACACCTTCGCCTCAGGGAAAAGGTGGTTGTACATTTTTAACTCTGGTGCAGAAAACGGGTTGAAATTCGATCCATTAACTGTGTGTTTATGTAACGACTTTCGGTGGAAATTGGACTGCATGTGAAAACAAACCTTTATTAACCATTCAGACTAACAGACAACAAAAATTGTCAGATGTTATCCAGTGAAAGTAATTCAAAAATGGTCCAAATAATTTGGATGAATTTTTGTACTTTATTTCCTTCTTACAAAAGGTTTCTGTCGTGTTCGTGTTTTAGAGTAGGTATGGAAAGACCATGTTTGACCTGTTTTGCTCTGGCATTTTGCACCCAAGTTTGTTATACGTCTTATCCATCGAAAGAAAAAGATCTAAAACTTTAGATAACTCAAACGAGATATTAATAAAGAATTCCAACATGGCTAAAATCTCTTAAAAACATCAAATTGTAGG